AAGCAAAACCATGAGGAGGCAGAGGATCAAACCTCTTCCAGAATTCTTTCTGCACCTTCACGTTTTGAATCCTAAGTGTGGAAACACTTTGTATTTTACACACCGCCGGGAAAACATGACTAAAACGGTATGCAAAGTAACATAGCACTTTATTTTATTTCAGAAAGTATTTTTTCTACTCATTTTGTTGAACATTTGACTATTATATTCATGTGCAAGTTCAGGGTTTTGGTACTTGAAAGTTTCATGGTTCAAGGTACTTTAAATATACACTGTGTATGTGTATGCTCCTGAAATAAAAGTTCAGAAAGATGTGATGCATTGTTTTTGTTAATATGACTTATCATATACAGTCTTTTTTAAGGGTATAATCAAGTATTTTCAATTGTCTAGTCTTTAATAAGCAAACAAAAATCACAATAAATTAATAAATCAAAAGTAGGGCAGTACAATCATCACAATAATTGTGAAATATGCTAGTGTCTGTTAATATTAAAGTGCAAAAAGATGAAATATGAAGATAAATATGAAGTCTGTACTAAATTTTAAATTTGCATTAAATAAATCCAGAAAAAACAAATTCAAAATAGAAAACTATTTCTGGAAAAAAATAGAGTTCATAGGGTCCTATTATTGTAAATTATTAATTTGTTGAAGTTTTATGAACTACATTGATTTGACATGTTTTTGATCATTTCATTTTAATTAAACCATTAAAAAAGAATCCACAAACAAACAAACAAACAAACAAACAAAAAAAACACTGAATTTTGGAAGAATAAAAAAGATTCCTATAGGGCCCTAAAAATGTAATAAATTTGAATAAACTGATGTTTAATTATTTAATGTCAATTAATTGATCATTTAAATTTAATGAAACCATTCAAACGAAAACTTTATGGTAAAAAATGGGCCCCAGTTTTAATTAAAATCATTTCAGTTATCATCATGATGCACAATTGTCTTGGTTCTCATTAATAAAAAAATAAAAATAAAAGCACTTCGTAAACTAACATTTTCACCAATTACTTTGTTGACAAGATTAGCACTGCTTGAGTTTGTTCATCACACAAATGGCTTCTAAAGACTTGGAGTGCATGAGTCTACTGGACGACAGTTACGGTCATTTTATGGTGCTTTTTATGTGTCTTTTTGGAAAAAAGAAAGAAGAAGAAGAAAAAGATAAAAAAAAGAGACTGCTGCTGGTGTGCTTCCACTGAATTGAAAAGAGCATTGTGAATATTCCTGAAAACATTCCCTCGTGTTCCACGGAGGAAATAAAGTAATAGGGGTTTGGAACAACATGAGGGTGAGTAAATGATGACACAATAAAGCACTTCGTAAACTAACATTTTCACCAATTACTTTGTTGACAAGATTAGCACTGCTTGAGTTTGTTCATCACACAAATGGCTTCTAAAGACTTGGAGTGCATGAGTCTACTGGACGACAGTTACGGTCATTTTATGGTGCTTTTTATGTGTCTTTTTGGAAAAAAGAAAGAAGAAGAAGAAAAAGATAAAAAAAAGAGACTGCTGCTGGTGTGCTTCCACTGAATTGAAAAGAGCATTGTGAATATTCCTGAAAACATTCAATTCCACGGAGGAAATAAAGTAATAGGGGTTTGGAACAACATGAGGGTGAGTAAATGATGACACAATTTTCATTTATGTTTGAACTATTCCTTTAACAAGTTAAGCAAACTTGCCTATTACAGTCATCTCCTGTAGGAGTATTCAATGATGCAATTTCAGAGCTTATGTGCTGCAGGTGCCACAACGTACAAAGCTTACCTTTGTTGGTGAGCGTCATGGAGTCCGACAGATGTCTTTTGAAGGTGTAATGGTGGGCGTTAGAAGCATTTCCTACTGTTGCGCTGTGTGGCCTAACAGTCTGTGAGGTGTCCGTAGCTCTGACAGAACCAGGCCGGGGTCCTAAGCCGCTTTTCCCTTGTTCATGTCCATAATACTGTGCACTATGGCTTCCCAATCCAGAGCTGGAACTTTTAGTTGCCGGCAACACACTGTAGCCCTGTTTAAGTCCAGAACTGCTATTTGTACACGGTACTGAATTTGAGCGGGCAAAGATGCGCGTGGACTTTGTGGGTTCTCGTGGTTGGCTCTTATTGTTGATGCCCATAGTCTGAGCACAAATGGCGGCAGAAGAAGAAGGTGCTTTAGATGCAAAGCTTCTTGATTTGTCATGTGCAAGTTTTTTGTACTCCTCGTTACGTCTTTGCTGTTCCTGACTGGCTGATAACATCTCCACGTCATCGCAAGCCTGACAAAGGAGATCATTGTCTGCTTCGTCATTCCACAGACCATCGGAATCAAACAGAGACTTCATGTCCTCCTCTGAAACCCCATCAAACTTAGCAGAAGAAGCCTGACTTGAAACTCCACAATCTTTGGTCATTCCTTCAAGCTGGACTTGTCTTGTACTCTGGGATGAATGTGTTTGCTGCTTGACTTGGTGCACAGGTGAAGTCTTTAGCAGCTTGTCAGTAGCATGATTCTGGGCAGAAGCAGGCGGCTTTGACCTAAAAGTGCTTTGATTAGATGTTTTAACTTCAGGAAGTGTCTTGGTAAAGGTGCTGGTTTTGCTGGTGCTCTTTTGAGTCTCTAAGCAGAAGTTTACAGATGGATGAACCTTGGCCACAAAATTACATCTGCTAGAGCAAGACTTAGGCTGAGCAGTGCTCGGTTTCTGAGCTACATTCAAAGGTACTGGGTTCTGTGTCATTTCCAACACAAACGAGTCATTCAGAAGGTCATCGTTTTCCCAGTCATCATTAAAGTCCACCTTTGTGGTTTTAGGTGCATCTACAGGAGCGCTCTTGATTGCTGCAGAACTTGACTTTTGTTCTGCCGGTGCTAGAGGTTCAGTTTTGCTTTCTGGTGTGCAGTTTACTGACGGTGGGCTCAGCCTCCCACTTATGTGCTGAGTGGGACCGTCAAACAACGCCTGAAGCTCCGCCTCTTCCTGACAGGCTTGAGATGAGCAGCTGGTCAGTTGTTCTGATGAGACTTTGACAGATGTTGATCTTTCCGTTGTGGCTTTACTATCACTTTGTAGCTTATTGACTTGATTTATTTTTTCTGTGCTCTCCTGTTTTTTCTCTTTGTCCTGACGAGTCATATTGATGTCAAACTGCTTGGCAAGTTTCATGAGGTCCTCAACATTGCTCTGCCTAATGGAAAGAGATGGGGACATAAATATGAAAATCACAAATATATGACAGGGATTTCTGCGTGTATGCCAAATAATGTCACTTGCATGGCTCTATTAATTTAAAAATACAAAAATACACAATGAAAATGCAATTCGTACATATACGCTGATCTGAGCACACCTCTTCCAAGATCAGCTTTTGATTTTTTTATTAATTTTTAATAATTTTTTTAATGCCAAAAAAGCTTAAGTAGTCATAAATTGGCATAAAGTCAAACCTTTATTGGTATAAATATTTTTCAAAACTAATGAAACCAACATGAATACAAAAATAACATTTCTAAAACATTTCTAGATTTTTAAAAGATTTCTGTAATCATGAATGTTATTTGACATTGACTCATTCTTTTATTTTAATAAAAGATTAAATTAAGATTATTCAAACATTTTACAAGAAAATACTATTTTAGTCATCCTACTTCAACATTTCACGTTAAATTCAATGTTACTTGCCCTTTCTTTATAATTATTTAAGAAATTTCCTAGCAGTTTCAGTCTGAAAATTGTTTCAAAGTAAATCCTACAGCAAAGTTCACTAGACATGGATGGTATGACCAGAATAATACACCACAACAGGGGCATTGCTAAAACCAGGAGCTCTATCTTTAAATAGTCTCTCAGTAGCCTCAAAATCCTGAAAGCTACAATACATTTCTCACGGTGTCACGGTGGTGAACTCAGATCCAGTGGTGTAATGGGGAAATAGATGCTGCAGAGATGGTTGGTGTGCTACAACTGTACGGTAGAGATCAAGTTCAAATTATAATATTAAATATGCATACAGTTGCATGTCAGGTAATACAGTCATATTATGTATGACAGATCCAAAAAAAAAAAAAGTTTACAGCATCTTTCAAGTATTCATCACGTCTTTGATAATAGGACACATACCGTGCTGAAATCCTCCGGACTCTGGGCTGTCTGATCTCTGGAGTGCAGGGTATGTCACCATCTCCAATCCACTGGAGCACTGAGTCCCCTTCATTTGCCTTCTTAACCTTAAACATAGTTTACATTTACCATGATGACACCCATCATTTCCATTTTATTGTCTATATTTGACTTAATACTTACTTTTGGTGCAATTCTACTGACAATCTCCGATATTTCAATGACTCGCCCACCTCCTTGTCCTGTGAACAGTTACAAATGTATGCAAAAGTTAAATTTTTCTGTAAAATATGCTGATACACAATACAGCAATCAGTTCACAAATATATCTACTGTTTTTACCATTATCATAGATTGCATGAGACAAGGAAATATGAAATAATACAACAAACACAGAGATGAATGTCTTGAGTCGGACACACGCACTTTTACCTTTTTAATTCATTTTACTGCTTAGAGCATAGCTTACGTTTTATGTAACGTGAAACTTATCATTCGTTATTAGTTATGAACAATCTTGTTTTTTTGGTTTGGCATCAAACGAACCCTAATCTGTACAATTGTTTAAGAGGATATAAATACAGACTACTTGGAAGTTTTATGATCACACTTGCCATTCAAGTTCTGAGATGGTGAGTTGGTATCCCAGATGATGTCTTGAGGGGATTCAGTCTCATTAGGCGAATCTCCACTGTAACAACCGTTGAATCGGACTCTTGGTCGGCGTTTTGGGGTGGTAAAATCTGAGAATTAAAATAATTACAACACTACGGTTAGTATGGAGTTAATAACATTTCACGTCGACACTAACAAGAAGTACTTTGCACGTGTTCCACTGCAGAACCATGCTATTCTTTGAAGTACCCTGGAGTGTCATTCAAATAACATGAATATGATAATCATTCAGTACAATGACACCGCGACAGTACTTTAATACAGTTTTCTAAGAAGAAACATCCATCTGCTTTGCGATCGATTGACACGTGTTCTGGTAAGTTATGTCTTACAAAAGTATTACCTTTGCGACAGTTGTATGAAGTGTGACAAGACGGAGACTGGGACAGTTTGAGTCCGATCATTCGTCTCTTTGTTTTCATTTTGCTCTGGGAAACTTTGGAAGTTCTGCTCCGGCTTTCTCTCGCATCTGATATATGGCGAACACCGATGTTTCTCTTGTTGGTCATGACTTATTTTAACTGATATAAACAATACCGCTCCAGTATTCATAACGTGGTTGAACTAGTGGAAAGATCTTTGCGATATTTGGTTTAAATCCAGAAAATGTTTGGGTACTCAGGTAAGAGTGCTCTCCTACATCGTCGCCATGTTTTTTTTGTACGTTTACATGAAGGCGCGTTCCTGATTGGTCCTGGGCATCTCGCGACATCTCGTGAGACTTTGTCTTCTCATTGCAGCTTTTTAAAGGGGTCATATGATGCTTTTTTAAAGATCATTATTTTGTGTATTTGGTGTAACAGAATATGTTGACATGCTTTAATGTTCAAAAATCTCTCTCACTCTCTCTCGCTCTCTCTCTCGCTCTCTCTCTCTCGCGTGCTCTCTCTTTCTCTCTCGCTCTCTCTCTCACACACACACGTGCGCGCGCGCGCACACACACACACACACACACACACACACACACACGATGTGCAAAACTCCGCATTTGAACAGT